AGCCAGAGAGAGAGAGACAAAAACAAGAGAGACTAAATTGTATCCCAATTTTAAAAGAGTTAAACAAGAGGTGTTAGAAATTTTAAAATAAAATATTAGATTTTGAGAAATTCTCTAGTATTTTTAAGGCTTTTTAAAATGTTTATTAAATATAACCTTTGTAGAATAACAAGTAACCATAATGACTTCCTTATTTGAAAATTTGATAGTATCAAAACAGGTAATAATAAAGGCTGACATTTATATAGCACTTTGAGGTGTAGAAAGATTTTTTAACCTGTATTTTACAAATGAATAAATTGAAGATGAAAGAGGCTAGGTAATTTGCCCAGATTCATACAGCTAGTAAATACCCACTGCTCGATTCAGACCTATGTCTTCCTAACTCTGAGTCTAGCTCTCTAACCATAATGCAATACTGCTTCTGGGTGTTCAATAGCAGGACAGATTGATTACTTCTCATATGAAATATAGGATCTTTTTTTTTAATAACTTCTTAGCTACCCAACTTATAACCTCCCAGGGGAAAATGTATAAGGAAAAAAGAGTAACAGCTTTAAAATACCAAGGGAATGGATTATGGATTCATAGATATAGAAGTAGAAGGAACTTTAACATCCATCTACATCAATTCCCTTATTTTACAGATGAAGAAACCAGGGTTCAGAAATGTTAAGTAACTTGCCGAAGGTCACAACTAGTAAGTGTCAGAGGTAGAATTTGAACTCAAGTCTTCATCACTTTGGGGGCCAACTATATTATCCACTTCACCAAAACAAGGCTAAAGTTTACTGCCAAAAGTTCATTTTAGTGTATCACCTGAGAATGGATGAATGAATGAGTGAATGAATGGATGGATGAATGGATAAATCAAGCATTTGTTAAGAACTTACAATGTGCAAAGTACTATGCCAAGTTCTCGGGATACAAATAGGAAGGTAAGACAGTCCCCACTCTCTTTTTTTTTCCCTTTTTGGCTAGACAATGGGGGTAAGTGACTTGCCCAAGGTCACACAGCTAATAAGTGTTATGTGTCTGAGGCTGGATTTGAACTCAGGTCCTCCTGAATCCAGGGCCAGTGCTCTATCCACTGTGCCACCTAGCTGCCCCACAACAGTCCCTACTCTCAAGGAGCTCACATTCTAATAGGAGAAAGAATACACATAGAAGGTTTCATTCAGCCACTAGTTGGATTGATTCCATGGTCCTTATGTTAAATTAGTAAAGTGGTAGTATGTCTCATTTAATGTCATTTCCACTGATAAAAATCATATCAGTTTCTGATATTGAACCATTGGACAGTACAAAGAACATTGGTGGCAAGAATTTTCTTTTCTGTGTCTTTAATGAATGTCGCTATCACATCTGCAGGAGCAACCAGGAGGCTACATTTTATAGGCCATGCTTCCCAGGGTTCTGGGCTGGAATCATTTGTCATTCAGAAGACTCTTGGATTCAGGGTCCTGGACTGTTTTTGTTAGGGTCTGAGGAGACATGGTGGTCAAGGTGGTGGTGGTGATGTTCTGACTTCAGAGAAAGAAAGGGAGGAGATAAATGTCAAAACTTTCACTTTTGAAGAATTACCATGTAACAATACACCACAGTGCACCATAGCTGGGACAGCATGGGCTACAATAGGAAGATTCTGCTGCCTTCCTTCTGATTCTGATGTATGATTCTCTCTTTGTATTTTCCTTGTTAAAATGGCTATAGTCATGAACTTGGGGTATATGGGGCAGGTCAAAGGCCAATGTTAATTGGATGGCACAGTTTGTCTCATGATGACTTGAAATTTCAGTTCATGGCTTCGAAAAACAAATCAAAATATAGAGTGGTTAATATTTTTTTGAAATAGCATATAATTCTTTGTAGTTTAAAAATAAAATCCTCCTCACAGAGATATTCTCACACCCTCATTTGCATCTTTAAAAATAAACTCATTTATTTCTTTTTTAATATACCCAAACTACCCATCAGGATCATTTAACACCAAAAATGTTAAGATTTTTTTTTAAAAAACAGAAACACAACACATATTTCAACTCCTACATAATAATATAGCAAAATTCAGTAACATCTGCATATTTTCTTTACAAATTGCAGTGTTAGTCTGAAGTTAATTATATGAAACTGATTTTTTACTCAAGTACGACTTTTACATATTACATTTAGTCTATCTAATTGCTACCTTGAATAATAAATTGTTTCTCAGCTAGAATGTATTGTTTGGTGTTGCTAATGAAATGATTTTAATGTTGAGCTTAACTCTTATGAGAAAGTTTTTTTTGTTGTTGTTGTTATATATTTTAAAAGTAGCTCCCCATTGACAAATAATAAATAACCCATTGGTTATTTTTCCTTAGTCTATCTTCTGTACAAGGAGTTTGTAGAGAAGTATAGCAATAATTGATAGAAATATTCTGCAAATGTAACTCTGCACATATTACAGTATTTTCTATACCACAATAGGATTTCAGTGTTTACCAGTTTCTGGGGATTTGGAACAGTGCTTATTTCTTTTTTGGACCATGACCTGTGATTTCATTGCCATAGGGAACTCCTCCATGGGAAAATTCCTTCTATCAATGCGAATTGGCATTTGCTCTGAAAATAGTCTTAGGGAGTTGTCTGAGGCACTTAGAGAGTAAGTGACTTGCCCATGGCTATTGTCAGAGGCAGGATTTGAATATAGTTCTTCCTAACTCTGAAGGCTCTTAATAATACACTATACTATGGCCACTGAGTCAAAGGTAAGTATTAAACAAATGTTTGAGAATAATGGAAAGATGATCTTTGATTAGGCATTAACCTTAGAAGGAAATGTGGAGAAATTACTTTACTTGTCTAATAATTAAAAAAGAGGAATTGCTGATATGTAGAAGCAATGGGTCAAAATGGATCTGATCATCAGGATTCAAGCAAGTAGTCAACATCCGGGAAATACTCAGATATTGTAAGTCAAGGCAGGAGGCTGCCTCTGGCCAAGTCATCCAGGCAAACAGATACAGACACTTTGAACCTAAGAAAGCCTCTGCATCAGCCACAGAGGCTCATGTGTGTTTTTTGCTGGGACAGTCTCAGGGCATGGTCAACTAAAGGTTTGTAGGTGGGAGCAGTCAAATCAAGTCAGAGGTTAACATTTGAAGTGAAAACTGTAGGGAAATATATAAAGAAAGATGATCAGTGAGATGTTGCAAGGCATGTTAAGCTTGTATGCAGGATAGTTTGGAGAGGGTAGAGTTGGGTTGGGCAGAAAACTAGGAAACTATAGAGTGAGAGGGTAAAAATCAGAATTTGATTAGGAGTGGTAGCAATAGAGAAGAATGAACAAATATGCACATTTAAAAGGGAAAATATTGGATTTAGGTATTAAGAAAAGAAAGGAGTCAGATATAACTGAGATTTCAAGCCTGGGTGACTGGAGAAAATGAGATAAAATTGAGAGAAATGGGAAAGTTGGGAGTGGCAGCATATGTGCTATGATGAATTCCCCTACCCAGTGAAGTACAGCTTAGAGCAGGGATGGTGGACCTGCAGCCTGGAGGCCACATGTGAGGCTGCAGTTTCCCCACCCCTGGCCTAGAGTGAAGGATAATCTTGATACAAACAAAATCTCACTGAATAATCTCAGTAAGGCTTTTCTTTCCTTCAGGACTTGGTCAGAGTTAAGGTTCCATATTATCATCCAATCCCTTTGACTATGTAGTGAATTTTCAGAAAATGGAAGAACTTTCCCTGACTTCTATGTGATAGCAAAGCACTCCAGAGTTCTGTTAGATGATAAATCTTGGCTCATGGATACAGGGATCAACATTTCAACATCCATGCCATGAAAAATCTGATGAATTTTTTTTCTTCAAACTAAAGAATTCTGCTGTGTTGAGTGGGAGTTTCCTACCTTAATGTTTCTTCATTGTTGTATAGAGATCTTCAATGATTTGTCATCAGTAAGCTAAAAGAATGTGGTACAGTGGAGTGAGTACTGGGTTTGGAAACAGGGGAGACCCAACTTTGAATCTTAGCTCTGACACTAGCTCAATGAACATATTTAAGTCACTTAACTGCTCTTTAACTCAGTTTCCTCATCTATAAAATGAAAGTAGAGATGGGTGGTAATCTGTCCCCTTTGGAGAAAGTACCCACATTGGTGAGATCATAGATTCCCTTAAGTATTTAAAGTATGTATAATATGTATTTCTACTTACTTATGTATGTATCATATTACCTGATTTGGTTTATGTTTAAATGGAAACTTTAATATGACTGGAGGTATATACAAACATAAAATAGGTTGCCTTAGGCTTAGGAGATAGTGGATTTTGGCTCCCTGGGAATCTTTAAGCAAAGACTGAATTATCACCTGTTGGAAATGTTGCAAAAGAGATTCTTATGCACACACATTTTGAACTTGATGGCCTCTGGCCCTTTGCAAAATTAAGATTCAGTGATTTTTAATATCCTTACATTTTATATCATAAGCTTGTTACAGTAAAAGTGCTTCAAAATCCTCAGCATGTGATAGAGATGTGAGTTATTATAAATCAGACACAAGCTTAAAAAATTCAACCTACCAAGTTGACTGACTTCATTGCTTTATCATTTAACTTGACCAATCAGAGTCATCAAAGCCATCTTTTGGATTATAGACACCAACAGTCTTAAACAGGCTTGGGTAAGAATTTAGCCAGGCTCCTCAGCACATCCACAACCGATTTTCCAATTTCCATCATCTTTCTATGTGGTAAGAAATGATGGTCTAGGTGGGGGTTAACCATCCTGGGTAAATAAGGAAGCAAAATCTATGGTATATTGAGTAATGTTGAAAAAAGTCATAGGATCATATCCATGGCTATATGAGTGGAATGATGTATGTCTTTTTCTAATGAGTAGTATATATCTTATACACACACTTTACGATGCATGCTAAGTAACTTCAGCTTTACTTTCTGCTTCGTCTTACAAAACTAATGGTAAATTATTTCTTTCTGTTCTTCTCACAGCTGAATTTTTATTCCTTTTGTGGGGTGTTTATCTCTGCTATGCAGTTCGGACAGTCCCATCAGCATTTCATGAGCCACGTTATATGGCTGTTGCAGTTCACAATGAGCTCATTATCTCTGCTATATTCCATACAATTAGGCAAGTGATCTGTAGATTGAGTACTTAACTATTTCATTTTGTTTTTCTGCTGTATCTTGGTTTAATTTAAATGTCAAAGAATGGATAGCTTTTCTAATGGAAAGATTTAAGAAAGATATGTATTATTTTTAAAGTTAAGGATTGGTTTAATTTTTCTTTTCCTACAAACGGGAAATGAACAATGTAGTTATACTCTTTACTCTAACTGATCAGTTTCTCCTGATGTGTCCATTGTCACCTTTCTCTTTGAAACCTGTCAATTCTCTTTCTATGTTGAAAATATATGTAAATCAATGGTTCAGTACAGTTAATGAACATTTTCAGGTTGATGAAGATGAACTATTGTTATCTATTTTCATGCATGTTCTGGATACTAGTTTGTAGCTCCAAAATTTTATTTGACAAGTATTTACATGCACATGTATTGGTTTGTATTCATTTGATTGCTACAGAAAAGAGCATCTTATTCAGTGTTAGAATGCACTAGTGTTGCAGAATTGGGCCTTATGAGCTGAACATAATGTACAGTTTTGTTCAGTGACACGTGAATTTCTTTTCTTAGAAGAGAATGTAGCCTGATTCTTCTTCCCTTGGTACTTCTACAGTGTCACTTCTACAGTGGTGGAAATAAAAGGGAGTTAGGTGGGAGCTATTCATTGTGAAGTGAACAAAGGGAAATTTCTATCAGTTATTTTATTAGGATTTGCCCCTTGTATATATTTGATAGTAGTTCAACATTTGAAAAAAAACTGAATGCAAGCTTCAATGTGGGGTTCAAAATGAATCTGCTGCAAAGCTGCCTAAAAGTTCCCAATTCTTTACTTTGGAGGACAGAAAGTGGTGATGAAAAAAATTCTTTCTCATTGTTTCACATATCTTGAAAATAGAGAAATAGCTGAAAAGGAAGATACTTTTAAAATGAAGGTTCTTAAGCATAGTATCAGATTTTTAGACATTGAAGCAATTTGAGAGGCCATCTGGTACAACTTTCTCATTTTACAAATAAGGAAACTGAGGCTTAGAGATGTTCAATGACTTGCCATAGTCTCACAGCCAGTCAGCGTCAGAAGCCAGATCTGAACCCAAATATACAAATGAATGGGCAGAAGGGCAAGCACACCATGCCCTGATAATCTCTAAGGCTCTCTCTAGCTCTAAGATTCTGTGAATCAGGTTTTGTTCAATGCTGACTGACAGCTGTACTTGCTTAGCTTGCTTCTGAGGCTTTGACTCTATAGCACCAAAAATTACCCACCAATTCCATTAAAAAATAAAATTGTGGTAAATCTAATTGCATGAGATATAAACAAAATTACCAATTGATAGAATTTTTCTTTTCCTAACCAATGATTTGCTGTTCAATGAAACAAACATCTATCATGCACCTACTATATGCAAGGCAGCTAAGTGGTGCAGTGGATAGAGTGCTGGGCCCAGAGTCAGAAAGACCCAAGTTCAAATCTAACCTCAGACCCTTACTAGATGTTTGACCTTGGGCAAGTCACTTCACCTCTGTTTGCCTCGTCTGTAAAATGGGTATAATGATAGCACCTACCTCATAGGGTTATTGTGAGGAACAAATGAGATAATAATTGTAAAGTGCTTAGCAATAGTCCTGGCACATAGTACGCTAACATATAAATGTTAGCTATTACCAACTATTTTGATTAAGACACTGTACTAGGTGTTGGAGTTTTGTTCAAAGATTAAAAATTACTTGGTCCCTGCCCTTAAGAGCTTGAGTAAACCTCATTTGTCTTCCAGCCTTTGTTTACCTGCTCAATCCTTCATTTCTACACACGATCAACATTTTTAAAATGTGTTTCAGAGCCTCCCAGACCCATAAGGCCACTTGTCTTCCAGTATACGGTATAGATAACACATCTTCCCTGTCCCTGCCAGAGAAAGCTGCATCAGTGGTTGAAACATGTCACCACAGTAGTCAGCAAGTGAGATGCTAAATAGCCAAAGGGAAACTCAGATATTTGCTTTGACAAACTTACATCAGATGAAATGAAGGACTCTACATTTATGACTCTCAATTTAACTGAATTAATGTTAAAAACTTAATTGGCTCAAATCTCAAGCTAGATGCCTCAGAGATTCACTTACTTGAATATATTACTCTCCTATTGGAAACATACATTCACATATAATATTCATTTTGTATATAATGCCTGGCACATAGAAGATCTTTTAGAAATGCTTATTGCTTGATTTTTTTCATAAGGTCATAATTTTCAATCTAGAAGGAAGCTTAGAGATCATTGAGTCCACTTTCACCTCATTTTATATATAAGGAAATAGGATCATAAAAGTTAAGTGACTTGCCTAATGTCATTCATGAGAAAGCAAGTCGGTCTAAACAATTAAAAATATTTCACACAAAAATAAATTAAATAACATTGATTGTATTTGTATTATGTGTTACAGATGAAAGACCATCACAATTTAAGAAAAAACGAGTGTACACATATGTGAGTTTAGGAAGCCATTTTTATTATGCGGATTACTTTACTACTCATAGACCACGTCCATATTTTCTGTAAAGTCCCAGAGTAGGAAGCAGAGAGCAAAAACAATTTAAATCTGGTCCTTTCATCTGAGTCATCTTTTCTAAGGATTGAGTGTGACTGAATGGTGTTTCTAATATAATGGACACAATTTCATTTTCTATTACTGCAACCAACACTTGTGTATCTTTGGGGTCTGTTTTAAAACTCATTATTATGGCTAGTCTGACCTCAAATCTTATGTGGATTTCTCCTATTCAAAATTTGAGATACATGGGAAGAAAGATGAATTTGGATCAAATTTCTTATTTCAGAAGGAATGGAGAAAATCATAACATATTCCATCCTACTCTCTCTTTTCATCCTGTCCTTCTCTGAAGTACTGATCCTACTTAACTTTGGGAAGGCTGGGGATCTAATTTTCTTCCCTGTTTCTTTACCACCCTAGCTAAGCATTTCTATAGTTTAGGCTCTCAGCCAAACCTGGAGTAGGATGAACTGAAGGACTCTAGCAAATATTTGCTGCTTAGTTGGGAAAGGGAAGCTCAGCAATTCATGACAGGAGCCAATCTTGACTTGAAATTTTTCTAAGTAGACTCTGCAATCTTCAAAGCCTGATTGTCATAGAAAGGAGACTTGTTTTATTGTCTTATTTGGTTATAGTAAGGATACTTGCATGAAATTCTTTATGAGCTAATATATAATTAAAAATTATATACATAAAATATATACATATATTTATATAGATAGATGTTTCCCTTAAAGAAATTTATTTTTAGTTCCATTGCTTTGCACAGTTAGAGAATATCTTGATCCATTATAGTTTAAGAATTTAACTGTAATCTCATTGTCTTTAGTATCAGAAATCATATCAGCTAGACCTCCAACATGACTAGGCATCTAAGTGTTACAGTGAATAGAGACTGGACCTGGAGTTAGAAAGACCTAGAATTCAAATCCTACTTCAGTCATTTACTCGGTGACCCTGGGCAAGTCACTTCACTTCTATGTGCCTCACTTTCCCCATCTGTACAAATGAAGTAAATAATAGCAATTAACTGCCAGGGTTGTTATAAGAATAAAACAAGATAATGTTTATAGAGCACTTGGCAAAGCCCAATATAAGTGCTGATTATTATTATGAATATGGAAGTCAAATTTCAGTAACTTCAGAGTTGTACATTATTGATAGTTTCTATTCCCAATTATAAATTCAGTGTCATGGCAAGCTAATGAAGAAGATAGAGCATTGGGCTCAGATAAACATGGGGGTAAGTTCAATATCTGACACATACTAGCTATAGAAATATCAGTAAGTCACATAACCTCTCAGTAGCCCAGGCAATTCTCTAAGATTATAAATTACATACAAGTTACAAGTCTGTCTTCATTGGAAATTTCCATACAAATTGTTTCCCACTCCTCCCTATTTCCCCAATGACATCAATAGAGGGTATGGCTTCCAAAGAATGATTTGACTTACACTATTTTGTAAAGTGACCTTACTCAGCAGATTCATATGGTAACAGTACATAGCAAGGAGTAATTCATCTCCACATGAAGAAAAATAAATATTCTCTCTGGTTTGAGTCATGTGCCCTTTATTTCATTATGGATGGGGAAAATGGTCATTTTGGTGACTTTTTTACTGATATGCCACATTATCTGTGCTGTGTCTTCTTATTCTCCTTTATTGTAGACTCAATGTATTGTCTAGACTTCAGCCAATGACCTGAAAGAATATTGTTCACTTAATCTAGGACATTATTTAAATGCCAAATATAGCATGCTCCGATCTAGAAAAAGATATCATTTGCTGAAAACTTATCATTAATGGTTATGATTATAATCCATTTAAATGTCTACAGCCATTATTCTTTATTAGCAAAAAAGCCACACTTTTCATCAGTTAGAGACAAAGATGGATATTACGATAATGGTTCTTTGTTCCTTTTGACTCGGTGACATACATATTTGTTCTTGGATTTTAATATCATCATTACTGAGAAGATGAATTGCACCTTCCTAAACATTTGAAGGAGTTACTGCACAGCCATAAGTCAGGTGGAGCAATGAAGCCTTTGCCATAGGCTGCCAAAATTTAAAGCACACAAAAATTTAATATTTGTGCTCTAGCATCATATATGCTAATAGTAATGAATTCCTCCTTCCACTCAGCTCAATTTCTTTGAATTATTTCTTGTATTGTGTTCACTTCATGAATTTCAAAGTCAGTTTGGTGTGAAGGAAAGTGTGCTAAATTGGGTTGGCCGACCTTGGAATCACTGGAGTTGAGTTTGAAGCCCAGTTCTGCCACTGTGTCATGTTGGACAAGGCCCATCACCTCTCTTGCCTTCAGTATATTCATCTATAAAATGTGGGAGTTGGACTAGGGTCCCTTCCAGTTCTAGAGTTAAGATTCTATAATCCTGTGAGAGCCAGATAAGGCTGCTTGCCCGGAAAATATGTTTTTGTTTCTTTCCCTAAGTGCCCAAATTGATAGCACTCTGTGTCGCTGAAAAGAATATCTAGGAGCCAAGAAGGCAATAAGAATTTTGTTACACCCAACCTTCTTGAATAAATGGGGTTGTATATAGAAATATTAAAAGGGGAGGTACAATGACAAAATTAATATTATTAAAACCATTCTGATTTTACTTAGGTATGGCAATCAGCTTTACTTTGTACTTGCAGCTGTTGATTTAACTTGAGAAATTTTCCCAAATTGTTATAGCAAATACTGCACACAAGCCAATGTCTCCAGTAGGTCTTTCCTGGATCATAACTGCATATATTTCAGGGGAAAAATCTCTTTTAAATATTTAAATTGAAATAAAAAACCTGGTTAACTGAAGTACTCAAAATCTCATTAAATATGGACTTTTAAAAAATCATGCAAATTGCAAGCCAGTAGTACATCCATTCATCTATTACATTGGTTGCCATTTAAATCTTTGGAAACACACAAATGCAGATAACCACCAGCTCTCTCACTGCTTTATTCTGATTAGCACTTTTCAATGACTTTAATTTAGTAAAGAATATTTTAATCAAGGAGTTATTTGGATTTGCTTTATTCTAAAATTGGCCATCCTTGAAAGCTGCTCATTTTGGAGTTTCTGAAACCACCAGTTAATAATACATAATTCATTTGCATTCTCTTTTGTTCCCCACCTTTACTTTGCAAATGCAACTGGGGCATAATATAATAGCATCCTCTGGAAAGTTAATGGCAAATTATAATATGAATTTTTTTCAAAAGTAAGAGATAATTGATGAATAAAATACCCTAATTTCCTATATTTATAAGAAAATTCTGCAAATATGCTTATGTTTGTCGAACTGTTTGTCGTTCTAAGATGAAGAAATTACCCATCAGAATCTTCTTTAAGTAGATTCCAACATGAATTGAATTTATAGACCAGATAGAGGGGAAAAGGTCATAAAGTGCTTAGCATCTTATGTCATAGTCTTGGTGATTGCTAATTCTATGTGTTGTTATTTCAGATTTGTTCTTGCTTCAAAACTTCAGTCTGACTGGATGCTGATGCTATATTTTGCACATACCCATTTGACTGTGACAGTCACCATTGGGTTACTTTTGATTCCAAAGGTATTTTTCTAACTTCTCTTTCTCTGGCAAAACAGGGCACTCAATGCTTTGAAGGAACTTAGAATGGTTTCTTTTCATTAAAATGTAGAACTAGAAGGGGGGGGTGCTATAATATTTTGTGGATTACTTCTAAAAGTCTTTTCACTGTGAACTAGAGACCTGACTACATCTGGATTTGCCAAGTATCAAAATTATTTTTGAAAAATTTTCACTTTGATAAAATCTACAATTAGTTTACCAAGGACATCTACCACATCTTGATGCCTTGTTAGATTTAAATTTGAGTGGATCCTAAGGAATTCTCCTTGATTTAGTCAATGAGATTTCTTTGAGAACTATTTCTAGGAATCCTTTTGAGCTTTTGTGTATCTCCTGTGGTTTAGAATGACTACATTTTTCTTAGAGCAAATGTAAACAAATATTTACACTAATATGTACACAGCACTACTATCAGAGGAGGTTACAGTATGATTCCAAGAGTTCTGAAATGCAGCATTGTTGTGTCATTGCACTTAGAGGAATTGGACAGACAAAAGGTTATGCTAGACCCCAAGGACAATTCTAACAGAGATGATACTTAGGACATTAGTTTCTTATCCCTTATCTCTATGGTCACAATGACTTAAAACTGGATCGGAACACTTGGGATTCAGATCTGGATTTGAAAAGCCCCAAAGTATATTCTCATGTGGTTTTAAAAAATGCTTTTCTGTTTCATACTTGAGACACCTTCAGTAGCAGAACTTTTTATGTCTTGGTCTATAATCATAACAATTGTTTTTAATGTTTATATTTTAAAAGTATGTAAAACCATTGAAACACATAATTATAGGGATTTGTGCAGATTGTAATTGAAAATTAGTGAGATTAATTTTTGTATATGGCCTATGAAAATTAGTATCTTAACTTTATGAGCAGAGCTTGCATACATGCCTAATCGAATTATGTTCCCCCAAGGATTAATAAAAAAGCTGGATGTGACATAGATAACTAATTGTAATGACTAGTTAGGCATTTAGCATTCTGTAGTTTTAAGGTACATTTGCATTTGTCAAATGCTTATTTTATTGTGGGCGTTACTATACTGACCAATTTTAGTATTGCAAAGGGGTTTCCCCTATTTAAAAGCCCTACTGTAACCCAGTTTCAGAGAATTGCTCTGAATTTAGAAGCAAGACAAGATTTTGCAGGATATTATGGAATGTATCTGCTCGGCAGTAGATTAATATGGCCATTCTTTTAGTTATCAGCTACAACAGAGATCTAACATTTTCAAAGCAACTCAGCTTATTGGGGAACAGAGTGAGTGATAAGAGAAAAATGAGAGTACTTCTCATCCTTAACACTAGCAATTTCACACACTGAGTAAAACAGCATTCTTCCATTAACCAGATGATGAAAAAGAGTCGAGATGAAGTGATAGAAATAGAAGGAAGTAGGAAGACTCAAACCTCAGTTCTACTATTTACTACCTGTGTCAACTTGGGAAAGTCCCATAACCTCTAAGAACTCCAGCTTTCTTGGTAATATGAGGAAACTGGATGAGGAGACCTCTAAAAACCTAAATATATGATTCTAGAAAAAATAGTATTCTATATAACTGTCTAATTGCAAAAGTATTTTTTCCCCCTCTTTCAATAAACAAGTGTTTTTTGAGTGACAATTGCAATGTGGCATAGTGGAAACAGTGCTGTATTTGGAGTTAAAGGTGCTCCTGGAATTGAATTCTAGTCTTGGGCAAGAAATGGAAGGTTTCTGGCCGTTATTTTGCTAGTCTATAAGAGGAAAGGGTTGGGCTAGATGACCTCAAAGGTCCTTTCTTGCTCTAAATCTCAACATGGAAGCAGCACAGGACAGTGGAAAGAACACTGGCTCTAGAGTCAGAGAACCTGGGTTCAAATCCTGCTTCTGGAACTTACTATGCAACCTTGGACAAGTCGCTTAACATCTGTGGGCCTCAATTTCCCCTTTTACAAAAGAGGGGTTTGGACTAGATGGTCTCCAAGCTCTGGACATTTTCAATATCACAGCCCAATGATGATGCTGTGGGCGATATACTGTAGGAGACATTGAGACAGGCATAGTGACTGACATATAAATTAGAGGCGTGTCCCCAAGGAGCTGGTTAAGAAGACACGCTATAGACACATGAAAAGAGAACAAATAATGCATAGCAGTATTGCGTACAGCTTATGTGTCAGATGAGTGGCTTATCGAGGTAAGTGAAAGTGGAATTTAGAGGAGGGCTAGATCATTGCAGGCTATTCAGGGCAGGCTCCATTCAGTTGGGGATTAAGAAATGAGTGAGGATGGGAAGTGCTAGGAGGACAGGGGAGCAACATGAAGAAAGGTTCAGAGGCACCTTAAGTCAAGGTCCAGAGATTTTGAGACCAGTCTGTCTGGACTAAAGGATTATATAGAACAGTCAAAGATGAGATTGGGAAGGCAGGTTGCCCCAATCCACATAAGATTCAGGAATTTGGATTTTATCCTACCAGCAATGGGGAGCTAGTGATGGGTTTAGAGCAGCTGGGTGACTTGATGAAAGTGTTATTTAAGCTTTTCTCTCAACAGTTGTTTCCCATATGCAACCTCAGGAATATTAATTGGAAGGAATAAAGTGTATACTCAATGTGAAATCTCTAAAAATATCTCTAAAAAAAAACATTTTGGGGGATAAAAGGTAGCCTGTCCCTTAGCTCTCAAATCCCTTTTTCTTAATTGGCACTTTTCTGCTTTTAAAATAATATTAATACTAGATGGCAAGATATTTTGTCATTTATGTTTTTCCTCCCAGCAAATGTGATGACATTTTGAGAATTTAGATTTTATCCTGACTGGAGGACTTGGGAAACACTATCAGCATTGCAAATCACGTTTTTACACTAAGCCCAAGATGAGTAATGATTTATACTGGGCAAATACAACAGAACGTTGGACCCATTTTCTATACTCTGTGTTTCTCTCTGTAACAGGGAAGAGGCTGAACCCCGTTTTTGTACTGCTACATTTTGCTTCATACTTCCAAGCCTGGCTTTGTGATGAATGGACTTTCATTCCTCTGAGCCTATTGACTCATTCCCAATACATCAGTGGGAGTTTATGAGATTACCATTGGTGCAATTTGGACCCTGGTTTTTAAATCTTCTTAAGAGCAGGGTTTTTTTTTTCCTTTTTGTATAGACCGGTGATAGAAAAAGTTCCTCCACCAATGAAGATTGGCAACTTGTCTATAATTTAAAATCTGCTATAACATCATAACCTTATAATTTACCACTTAGAGACTTGCCCCAGACATTGATAGGTTAAGTGTCTTACCAAGGTTTATGTGGTTAGTATGTGTCAGAGGCAGGTGTTGAAACCCAGATCTCGACTCCAAGGCCGGCCCTCTCCGTGGATAAAAGTCACATGCATTGCATCCTTGGGACTATGATACATGATCAGAGATCTGATCACGAAGCCAGGAGAACTTGGGTTCAATTCCTGTCTCTGAAAAATACCAGCTGTGTGTCACTCAGCAAGGTTAATCTCTCTGTACCCTAGGCAACTTTCTAAGAATATTAAGTTGGAGAGAAGGTGCCATCTTGCATTGGTAAAGAGGGTTTCATCATCTAGGAATTTCCTTTACCAATGAAATCACATCCCATCACTATCTTCTATGTAAGAATATATATGAATACATTATATATGAATACATTAATAGATCTTTAACACCTATATCATATGTGCGTATATATGTGTGTGTATACACTGTATGTATAAAAATATCTCTTCTAGTGACTTTGCTGACATGCTGTTCTTTTTTTTCTTTTAAATCTAAACTCCATTTACTAGTTGAAAGCATAAAGAGAGACTCACAGTAGTCCTAGCTGATTTTCCTCTAAATCCTCTCACCTACTCACTTACTTACTCATTCCTGTTTTCTCACATCCAGTCATCACATATTGTAGATAATCTGTCTCAGAAAAACCTCATTGGCCCACGGTTACCCACATAGTAAATGCTCAATAAAGATTTGCTAGTGTGATTTCACCAGACATTAACATCTCATGTAATTATTTACTTTTATCTTTCAGTCTGTGGCTTCTTTTCTTGGCTAAGGCATTTGACTAATGCAGGTACATTTAAGGGTTGGAGCTTTGCACAGAATTGTGGAATTTTAGAAATTAAATGAGGGCAAGAATGAGAGAGAGAGACAGACAGAGAGAGAGACAGAGAGAGAGAGAGAGAGAGAGAGAGAGAGCACTCTCACTCATCTAGTACAATACCCTAAATTTGCAGTTGAGTAAAAAGAAGTACAAAGTGACTTGTCCCAGATGACACCAATAGCCAAGCCAGGATTGTAACCATTGCCCATGGGCCTCCGGGTCAGCAGCACTAAATTTATATTGCTGATATTGCCACAGCTGTGGGTTGTAGGTGAATTTTGTCCTTTATTTTATTAAAACTCTATGTTAAAGACTGATGTTAAACTCAGATGATATTCATCCTTAATTTGATGGACAATAGGAAGACCCTTATCTCCCCTCCTCAGGCACCACAATATAGCATTAAAGATTCATTCCTTTAAGTTTGTTTTCCTCTATTACTTAAAACATAAATAATCATAAGAGGAGCAGTTAGGTGGCACAGTGGTTAGAGTACCCAGCCTGGAGTCAGGAATACCTGAGTTCAAATCTGATCTCACACATTTACTAACTGTGTGACCTTGGGCAAGTCACTTAACCCTGTTTCCTCATTTGTAAAATGATCTAGGGAAGGAACAGGCAACTCCCTGCAGTATCTTTGTTAAGAAATCTCAAAAGGGGTCAAGAAGAATTGGGCAAAACTGAAAATGACTGAAGAACAACAACAGCATATCCCAAGAAGGAGACTATATCTTTAATAACTCCCATTAACATCTCAGCAAATCTTAAGATTCACTTTCCTTCTGCCAAGAAACCCTGGGTAAATAAGAGCACTAAGGTCCAGGAAGAAGGAATGCACAGAAGTTTAGATAAGGCTCTCCCTGACAAACATCAAGGACCAAATTTTCATCAGTGTGGGAATACCAAGTAACTTGTCCAGATTCACATAATACTAAGTGACAGTGTTGGGATTTGAACTGAGGTCCTGTGACTCCAAGTTCAGTTCTCTTTCCATCATACCACACTGCCAACCCTGAGGCACCTAAGCACAAGTATTGTGCATTTTGGAGGATCATGGGAACATACAATTGAGGCCAGAAGGGTCCCTGAAAGTTAGTCTAACCTACTCATTTTTCAGGTGAAATGTGAAGCAAGTTGTCCAGAGACACACAGGTGACCTCATTCACTACCCTTGATTCAAATCCAGGTTCTCTGATACCAAATCAGTATTCTTTCCTACTACTTATAGCTCACCCTAACTTCTCAAAGAACTTTTTGTATTATTCTTCAATTTGGAGTCAAATAAATACCTCATGTTTACTCCTTGTTGCAGTTTTCACATTCAAGCAATAATCCAAGAGATGATATAGCAACAGAAGCATATGAAGATGAACTTGACATGGGCCGGTCAGGATCGTACCTGAACAGCAGTATCAATTCAGCTTGGAGTGAGCACAGTTTGGACCCTGAGGATATTCGGGTAACCCTGGTCTTTATCTTTTCCATATTTTAGTTCAAGTCAATGTATATGGCAACTACCAATCTTTAAGAAGAAAAGAATGTATGTCAATTTGTTTGGGCACATAGGTCAATTTGTTTGAGCATATATGTATTAACAATTTCTTTTTTTCTAAATAAAAGTTATTTTATTTAAATACATAATTTTGATCAAATTTAAGTAAATGAAAAAAAATTAATAGTACAAAGCAGCATGAGATTAGGGACCAAATGACTGGTGTAAACAGAAAATGCTCTAGGAGTTCAGAGAGAGGATAAAAATCACTTGTAGCCTAGGTGGTCTGGGAAGACTTCACAGAGCAAACAGAATTGGAGATTCACTTCCAACGATGAGTAGAACGAAAATCATCAGAGAATAATACAAACACTTGCAAATCTCTCCCTCTCTCTCTCTCTTCTCTCTCTCTCTCTCTTTGTCTCAACAGTACAAAAAAACCCTTTCTTTTTCTTTTTTAGAATAATGTGATTCATTATGCTTCATTCAAAAATCATTTATTTTTTAAAATCCCTGTGTTTGATCTAGGGTATAAATAAAATGTTAGTAATTAATTTCATCACATAACTAACTAGCCAAACATAGGAATTTCTTTATTTTAAAGGTACTTTTTTTTTTCCAAAATCAAAATAGATAAAATAACAATCAAATGACTGGTCATCTCAATCAGTGACGATAACATCTTTTCAGCTGGATCCATGTTTCTTTGCATGTATGTTTTTAAATGTTGAAAATAGTAACATGACAGGTTTTCTGTCTTTATTTTTTGTATTTTTTTAAATTTTAAACTTAAATACAAAATAAGAAAAGAAAAATAAACAAAATTAAATACTAAACTAAAATAATACAAAAGAAAAAAACATTGTCATATGTACAGCAGAATGTGAGGGAGGATTCAAAGTATACAGCAATAAATTTCCATTTCAAGAAAGCCTATGTAATAAACACCACACATTGTGTTGAGAGCTATCCGTCTTTGCTTTCTTGTAAGTTTTCTTTTGTTCTCTCTGTGCACTTTTTACTTTGTTTTTCCTCCCTTCCTCCCCCCACTCCAGAAGGCTACAATTAAGCATGGAGATATATACATGTATATATGTATACACATACACACACACATACATATATGTGTATATATACATATACATATATGCATATATAAAAAGGTATACATATTCATAGGTATACTGAGATATTTATAATCATACTCATATACAGACATATACAATCATATGCGAGACGTAAGACCGTACTATACTTATTTGTCCTTGGTCTCTCTGAGAGTGTATAACCTCTTCCTTCATAAGTCCAAGTCTTTCCATACTTTTCCAAGTGCACCAAGTCATCATTTTCTATACCACAGCAATATTCCAACATTATACTGTCTAGTTGTTTTAAACAGTCCAAAATAATGCTGATGAATATGACTGAAATGTAGTGTAGTCTCCCTATTTTTCTCTTTTGATTAAATCTATTTTAACCTTAACTTTGTCTGAGATCATGATTACCACTCCTGCTTTTTTCTTAACAAATTATACTCCTGATCTTTATTTTATGTTTGTATGCATCTCTTATTTGCTATTCCTCCTGACTCTTCTACTTTACTTCTGCCTACTGTCTTACCCTCCTATTGCTTAACCCACACCCTCCAAGGATCCCTCCCTTATCCTCCCATTCCCATTAATCTAAACACCCTTCTATACTCCCCTTTAACCTTTTCCTTCATCCTTCCCTCTAAAGATACCTCCCTTTCCCTCTCCCCCTCCCTATCCCCTTAGTACTTTATTTGTTTCTGAATTGAGAAAACTTTTATACTTTTCTGGATATATATGTGTTTTTGCCTCTTAAACCCATTCCTGAAGAAAGTAGGTTTCCAGAACTACTTGCCCTTCTCCTCCATCTAATTCCTCTGTCTCAGTTTTTCCTCTCGCGCCTCATTTGTGTAAGGTAATTGCTCTTTTTACAATTCCTAAATGGTTTTACTTTTTAAAATCATATCATTGGGTCTACCCCAATCTTTGTTATGAACTACCCAATTACCAATAACTATCTTAGACATATATTTTATATTTCCTCATAAAAAAGATAAACATGAGGCAGCTAGGTGGCGCAGTAGATAAAGCTCTGACCCTGCAGTCAGGAGGACCTGAGTTCAAATCTGACCTCAGATCAAACACTTGACACTTACTAGCTGTGAGACCCTGGGCAAGTCACTTAACCCCAATTGCCAAAAAAAAAAAAAAGGTAAACAGTCTGTCCTTATTGAGTCCCTTGTAAATAGTCTTTGGTATGTATCTGATATTTCTCTTGGCGTTTGTATGTCAAATCTATTAAGTTCAGGTTTTTTTTTTTCATTTAACAAAATCCTGAAAGTCTAACAATTCATTGAATATCCTTTTTTTTTCATTCAAATTTATGCTTAGCTTTTCTGGGTATAATATTCTTGGCCAGAACCCCAGTTCTTTTGCTCTTTGATATATAGTGTTCCAAGACTCATGGTCTTTTAGTATCATCACTGCTAGATCTTGTGTGAGTCTAATTGTGGCACTGTCATATTTAAATTGTTTTTTTCTTGTTGCTCATAATATTTTATCCTTGAGCATGGGGTTTTAGAATTTGATTATGGTATTCTTGTGGATTTTCCTCATAGGATGTCTTTCAGGTGGTGATCAGTGGATTTTTTCTATTCCTACTTTTTCCTCTTGTTCTAATACTTAATTTTCCTTAACTATTTCATGTATTATTGTTTCAAGATACTTTTTTGATCATAGCTTTCAGGTAGTCTGATTATTCTTGTTTTCCCTTCTTGATCTGTTCTCCAGATCAGTTTTTTTCTTACCAGATGTTTCACATTCTCTTCTATTTTTTCATTTTTTATATTTAGTTTTATTATTTATTTTTATTTATTTAATTTATGGGCTCTTATGACTTCATTGACTTCCCTTGGCCCAATTCTGGTTTTCAAGGAGTCATTTTCTTCCTTAAGATTCTGGATCTCCTTTTCCAATTGGTTGACTTTCTTTTCATAATCTTGTTTTTCTTGGATTCTTCTTTTTTTTTTTAGTTTTTCCTCAATTTCTCTCATTTGATTTTTAAAGTCTTTTTTAAGTTCTTCTATGAATTCTTTTGGGGGCAGGTGACCATTTGACATTACTCTTTGAGGTAGAAGAGGGTTTTTTTGCTTCAGTATCCTCCTCTGAAGATGAACCCCAGTCTTCTCTATTCCCATAGTAACATTCTGTGATTGAGTTCCTTTTTTCCTTTGCCTGTACATTTTTGTTTTGTATTTGTAGCAGCTTATTATTTTTTTTTGTAATCACCTCTAGCCCTGAGGGATGGGGGATGGGGGATGGTGCCTCTGGCCTCAGAGCCTCCTTCAGTTCTCCCCTCTGGCCTGGAACTGAAATTAAAACCTCCAGCCTCCAGTAAGTGTCCACAGCCAGCGGCATCCTTGCCCCACTGCTTCTGCACTCACCAGATGTGTGCTGGTTCCCTTTTGCCCAGAGTCGCATGTCTACAGCACAGCTGGGACTGGTGCTCCTTGTCAGTAGAGGTTCCCTCAATCTTCCTGGGCTCAGACACCCAACTCCCTCACTGTCCCGGGGATAAAAGTTCCCGTGGCTGGGGCGCCTGCAGACTTCCAACCCCGCTAACCCTTGCCACTTGTTGTTTAAGCAGAACTAGCCTGGAGGTGGTTATTCTTCACAGGGGCCAAACCTTGTTCTGGGATTTTTCTTCAGATCTTCAGATTGTCCCAGGGGGACCACTTTTCTGCCCCTAGTCTTATTTCTTTTTACTACTCTATGTCAGCCCTGAAGTGCTATTTTATCTCTCTTGTGGGTGAAATCTGGAGAGCTTGGAATTTCCTGACCTACTCCATCATCTTCTCAGAATGCTCTGTCTTAGCATGTATTTATTCACCACACACAATGCCAAAATATCAAGAAAATGTGCATTGTCATTGGTTTCAACCCAGCAGAAAATTTTCTGCTTCAAAATTTATTTTATTTTTAATTTATGGAAATTCAGAAATTTCTAAAGAAAGAGTTTTTCCATGGTAAATATTACTATATTGTAACCCAGTTGTATCATTTGGCAAAATCATTTTAATAACCAAGTTAGTCCCCAAAAAGACCAACTGGTTTTTGATTGATTTGACAAATATTTTATGTGACTTGACCATCAGAATTTATACATGTACACATTACCATTATCAGAATACATACCCCTTCAGGGCATGGACTATTAAATCTTTGTCTTTTTATCCCTAACATCTAGTATGGTACCTAGCACATAATATGTATTAATCAACACATTTTTAAGTGCCTACTATGTGACTGTACAAAGATAAAAGTGAAATAGTCTTTTCCTTAAAGCAGCTTATATTCTACTGGATGAGATGTAATGGGGTGTGGAGGGGAGGAACTAGCAACTATGGGAATCAGGAAAGGCCTCAAAAAGAAGAAAGCACTTGATCTGAGTCTTGAAGGGGTTTAGAGATTTTAACAGGAAGAGATGAGGAGGCAGAACATTTTCCACTCATGGGAGATGTTCAATCCAATTCAATAAACATTTATGAAGCACCTACTATGTGCCAGGCACAGTGCTAAGTGCTGGGGATATGAATAATAAAAAGAAAGGCAATCTCTGCCCTCCAAGAGTTTACAATCTAAAGGGGGAGACAATACCCAAAAGGAGGTGGGAAAATAGTGGGGGAGACACTAGGCGAGACATTAGGTTTCAACTAGAGTTGAAGCCAGGCAGAGCAGCATTTGTAAAGTGGAATGATCCATATCCAATGTAAAGTTGATGATGGGAATTGTGTCATGTGTGGGAAAAAAAAAAAACAAGAAAGCAAGTTCAACTAGACTTGTATAAAGATGCTAATAAATACTTGCTGATTTTTAAAATTCTTATTTATAGTTACATGAACTTATTAAGTGTTTCTTCTGGCCAAACACTGTTCTAAGCATGGGGGATGGAAAGAATTAAAAAGAGATTGTTCTTGTCCTCAAGGACCTTATTCATTGAATAGTGGAAGAGAACACACATAGAGAGAGGTGGCCAAAATGAAGTTTCATTCTGTGGAGGGAAAAAGTCAGCAAGTCGGGGCAAAGAGAAGATGAAATGGCTTTGACAAATGTCTGGATGACTTGTCTGGTGTCAAGGATGAGGCTATAGATATAGTGGGCTGGTTTGAACACATCTAGTCCCCCAAAATTGGATAGGGCCCTGGCCAGGATCTCTAAAAAGAAATGGATTAATTTTCTAATGGTCCAGGGCATGGATTCAGGAAAATCCTTCCCAGCAGGTCCAGGGTGAGGGGTGCTGGACCTGATGGGGAGAAGCAGCTTAATAGCAATAGACAGATGATGAGATGGCCTGGATAAATGGATGAATGGATGGATACGATGTGAAGGTGAAAACTGGCCTTGTGTCCAGGGGCTGTCAGGAGATATCTCATTATATTAAATATTATATCTTATTGTCAGACGGGTAGGATGGAGGGCCATATTATGAAGAATTGGTCATGTCAGGCTATGATAACCACTAGTGGAAGAATTTTGCTTCTGGGCAGATGATCTGCTGTGTAATTACTTAGTATTTTTGAAACCTTTTCAATCTGACCTAAATCAAGCATCTTGGGAACCGCTTTCTGAATAACTTCATAATTTGTCCAAAGAAGTGCTTGGTTATGTCTTATCAATAAATCCATAATGTGGTAGTCCAGATTCAATCCTGAACATAGTAATGACAAATCCAAAGTAGGTGCTCAATGAAAAATGAGTATGGAATATATGTCATGTGAGGTCTTAGACTATTTTTCTTTTGAAGGTCAGTCTCTAACTAAACACAAATTTGTAATAGAACCATATAGTAGAAAAAAAAAAGGAATAAGGTGTTTTGTTCAGATGCTATTTTCTTACAATGTTCAGATCTATCTAATTTGACTCACACTTATTGTCCTGTTTAGTTGACTGCCTTCATTTTGTAACCCTCTGGTTTTTCTCTTTTCTCAGGATGAGCTAAAGAAACTCTATGCTCAGCTGGAAATCTATAAAAGGAAGAAGATGATCACAAATAATCCACACCTCCAGAAAAAGCGGTGCTCAAAAAAGGGCCTTGGCCGTTCCATCATGAGGCGCATTACCGAGATCCCGGAAACAGTCAGCAGACAGTGCTCTAAGGAGGATAAGGAGGTCACGGACCACAACGCAACCAAAAATGCCGTCATTGTGAGGAAAAACCCCCAAGAGTCGTCCAGTGGCATTGTAAAGGCAAAGGAAGAGTCTCTGAAAAACCGGGTCTTCTCCTTAAAAAAGTCCCACAGTACTTATGATCATGTTAGAGACCAGTCAGAAGAGTCCAATAGCATCCCAACAGAAAACGAAGTAGAGACCACAGAGAACTCTCTACTGGACTCCCTTCCAGGTAAAAAAATCAACAAGAGGGTTACAGAAAACATGGAGGCTTCATCCACTGAGTCAGTCCCTTTGGTGTGTAAATCAGCAAGTGCTCACAACCTCAGCTCAGAAAAGAAGCCCGGACATCCGAGAACATCTGTGTTACAAAAGTCACTCAGTGTTATAGCAAGTGCCAAGGAGAAGACTCTTAGTTTGACTGGGAAAACATCAATTCAAGGCCTAGAGGAAAATGATAAATCCCCCAAACCACCACTCAAAGGCAAAGAGTTCAACCAAAAACATTCCAACCCTGATAAAATGGAGACTAAAGATTCTGCCTGGAAAAATCCCACTCATTCTGAAGAACTAAGGAAACCCCCAAAATCTGGAATTATGAAACAACAGCGGGTGAGTGCACCCACTGCCAATTCTGAAATAGGCCTAGGCTTGCTAAAGGATAACTTCGACATTGGGGAAGTATGTCCTTGGGAGGTTTATGACTTGACACCAGGTCCTGTGCCTTCAGAATCGAAAGTTCAGAAACATGTGTCTATTGCAGCTTCTGAAATGGAGAAAAACATCCCTCCCCATCCAAAGGAGAAATCTCAGCACAAGCCTAAACTCAATGAAGGCTATCAGCAATCCAATCAAAAAAGTGTTGACAAGGCTGAAGTGTGCCCTTGGGAGAGCCCAGAACAGTATGTTTTTGAAGAAGAAAAACAGCATTTGAATGCTAAGACTCACTTTCTCCCTGGGGGTGGGAAAGGTGAAAATGGCGGTCAACATCCTTCAGCCAAGGTTTGTGTGGGTCAATATGATGAACTGCCTTCAAACGTTGTAGCATCAAAAGCAGAGCAAGAAAATACCAACCAAATAGGAGACCAGAAAAAAACTCCATCTTTCTCTGAGGGAAACATGCTTTCATCTGCCTCCTTTAACTCAAGTAATAACTTTCAGCAGCCTTTAACATCCAGAGCCGAGGTGTGTCCCTGGGAGTATGCGACCCCAGGCTTACCAAATGCTGAGAGAAATGTAGCCACGTTGGCCTCTTCTGCTTTAAGTGAAAATAACACACCAACACCCCGCAAATAAGAGGTTTGGGACACTTTCAAAGTGTAGCATGCCCATAAAGGAATGTTGTGAAAAAAGAAAAGAGAAAAGAAGAAACCCTGATGTCACTATCCACTAAAGAGTAGGAGGGTCAGAGAATTCCCAAGGAGAACTTGTTAATCAAGGAGGGACAATGGAAGACAATAAGGTTTCAACCAGGGTAGAGGAGTTTGGAGTTGGAGATATGGAAGATACCTTGGGAACAAATACCAGAGTGACAATTTTCCCACTTCTCTCCCCTCCCCACCTCTAAAAGAATTTCCTTAATAATCTAGAGAAAAGGTGCAAATACAAGATGTCCCAAAAGTCTTAGTGCAGTTTTAACACAAAGGTTTTGGGGATACTATGTATTTAAAGGAAATGTTCGTTTAAGGTTTGCTCTTCCCCATCCCCCATTGAAATTTACCTTTGAAGATACAAATGGAGGGAATTCTAAATCATATAGAAAGTGTTTGGTAAAAAATTAAGAAATGAAGAAAAGTTATATCCTTGAGCAGCTGACTGAAATGAACTTTTCACTTTACTCATTTAACCTTGATAGCACTGCTAACTTAATGCATCCCAAAAATACATTTTATATTACTGATTGCTCTCATTTTCTTATAAATGTATGTTTCGGTACATTGTTGTGTCTCATATTCAAGCATTCCAGATCGTATAATTTTTGCAAATAACTTTGATATTATGTGACACAACAACATGTTTATGCAATCTTCAGGTACTCAATTGTCATTGCACCTTACAACATACCTGCTATCTACAACTTTGGTTCATTTTTAGAAGTTCAGCAAGCTTTCCCTGGCTTGGGAGGCCATAATTTGGTATGAGAAAATTCTTTGATTTAGGCTGTGATTTATCTTGTGAATTTGGGTTTGACTCTTTTTCACATTCTTGTTTGATATGGTATTATTCAAGGTTTTTATGCAGATAAGTTACTTGTTTTGCACTTCTATGTTAGCACTCAGAAGCTCTACTGATACTGGCGATCAAGTGGTCCTAATTAGCTGTATATTTCAATGAGTTAAGGACAACTTATCCATTGTTTGTTACAAGCCAGACATTAAACCAATTGTTCTGGTTAATCGTCAATCATTGTTATTTTTCTCAGTATTTCATACTTAGCATCCCTATCGAAAGGAAGAGCTAAGGGTGAGGAAAATATGCTTTAAATTATTATTTTTTTTTTTGGAAAGAGTAGATTCTAAGGAATGACATTATTCTAGTTCTAGCTACACTATACAACCAGGGAATCTGCCTTTCAGAGGAAAGACATGGAGGTGTTCCCTGATAGCACTTTCAAGTGATTATTTTTTTAAACAACTGCTAAGAAAAATTGGGTTTGCATCTAGATAATTTCGTGGATATTTTTGGATTATGCATATTGAATGTAAAGTCAATTCACCTTATAGACTTTAGATTCCCTTATTGGTTCAGGTAGGAATACCACTTCTTAAGTTCAATCTTAGGTTCAGAACCCTATCTACTTTAATTGCAACAAGGTGATGTTGGTCCTTCATTCTCTTAAACACTGGGAAAGTTCCATATCCCGTGGCTTCCCATTGTAATATTTCTGGACTGAAGAAATAATAAAAGAATAAGACTCTGCCTCATGACAAAACATTCCACTGGTATGTGTTCTAAAAGTCATTCTTTTGTAATGGCTGTAGGACTGGGGAAAGCTGAAAACACTAGCTTGCTAAGATCCAGGAGGAGGCTAGGCAAACAAGGTAGTTGCCTAGGGTGTAAGATGTAGGGAGGGGCAAAAAGGGACATTTTTTATATTATTTTTTATAAATGGACATATTTTAATGCCAGAAAATTGCTCTCCAGGATATGTAGGGGTTTATTTTGTGATAATTAAAGTCCCGTGTGTTATACTGAAGGCTCAAAGTTACTTTGAGATAGCAATAGTGTCTAGCACATAGTAAGTCCTTAATAAATACTTGTTGGTTGATTGAATGACTAACACCAAGGGAGAGGCCAGTTATAATCCTCAAGCCTTGTCTTGGGTAGACAGTTTCTTTGTCTGGGCTCTGGTTTGACTTCTGGCTGCCAATATGACCTTGGTAAGATTTCCTATACAAGTTTAGTGTTATTTTATTAGAAAAAATTAAACTTGAAAATGTATTTTAATTTAAAGTTTAATAGACATCACCTTGCCTGTTCCAAACATAATAGTATGTCAAGTGCCTATTCTGCCCTTTTCATTTCTAACCCCAAATGATTGGGTTTCATTTAGCCAGGGAATATGGACAAAATTCAAGAGGAAGAAAAGAACAAAGGAATTGCCAGCAGAAAACAGGAAGCCCATGAAGAATTTTATCCCTAAAGGGATAACACAGGAGCCAAGAATTCTCTTCCTTTTACCATTAAAGTCTCCCCAGCTCTTTTGTTCCAGAACAAGTCACGTAGGGGCCTCTCTGTTATCTTACCCGCTATCCATGTGCCCTCTGTGATCATTTGTTTGCCTGTTGCTGTACTCAGGTTGGTAGGCCAAGATCAAGTGGAAATGAAGAGAATCTATTTTTTGGTCCCTTCCCCCATACTTGATCACTCAAGAAATGCCCTTGTGATGACCTTGAAAGTACTATTTTTTAAAAGTTTTATTTTCTCCCTAGGCTAGTGGGTTTCAGCCCAATGAGTCATTTCACATATGCCTCAGTTTTATTGCAACTTAACTTCCAAAAAGTAAGAAGTCAAGTATCATTGGACTGATCTTGCTAGAGACATGACTTCAATGAGACATGCTAAATTACATCTATGTGACATTCTTTGACCCACATTTGTTCTCCACCAGTGTAATATTCAGCCAAAAGAATTACAATCTAGAACTAAAAGCATTTGCTAGCAAAATCAATCAAAATGAGAAGTCAACAAACACTGAGGTTACAAACATTTGTTAGGTTGTCCTTCTGTGCATGTATGGGCTGCATCATTACTCCTTTGTTTCTAATCCAGATTTATGAGTAAATAGATTTATGCCAACCTTAATAGACCTGTATGTTTTATGCAAGAATTAAATGCTTTAAGACATGAATAAATTACTCAACCCATTGTATGCTTTGGTGGCCATATAGATTGGAGAATCGACAGCACTTTTGTATCTGCTCCTTAGGTTTCTGCATGCAAGCAATGACAGGTAGGACTGAGAAAACACTGCCGTTTGACTTCTAGCATTGTAGCTCCTGAGAGTTGTAGAGTCGATATCACTGTAAGTCTATTCACTTTATTCTGTGGTTCTAAAACTATTATCTGGCAACCTACAGCATCCAACAGGAAATATTTGGTAGATTTATGTTGTGATGTGTTGCAGCATGTAAATAATATAACTTCTCTGCAATAAAGCACATTTATATTAAACTGGTTTGTGTTCATTCTGTGCACCTGCCTGTTACCAAGTGAGTTTATTTCCATCTAAACAGTATAGTTGAGCAAACATGGGATTTGAGGTCAATGACAGTTTTTGCACAGGAGCACTGACTCTGGAGTCAGAACTTGGCTCAGATTCTGATTTTGATACTGCCTATTTAACTTTATTCAAGTCACTTAATCTCTCCCTTTCAGAAGAAATAATTTCTGGTCGTGTCTACATGGTGCCAAAACTTCAGATATAAACACACTGATGTCAAAGATGAAGGGGTGTCTCTGTATCCAGATTGGTTGGATTCATTAGACACAGGATTTAGAGGCTTGGCTGAATTTTGCTATTTTTTTTTTTTGGATCATGGACTCAACAAATTTTAGAGTTGTAGGAACTATCTACTTCAATGTCTTATGGAAAGCATGACTCCCCTTTATACCGTCACGAATAAGTGTTTATCTCTCTTTAGCCAGAAAACTTCCAATGACAGAATGCTCACTACCTCTCTGAGGCATCCCATATTTCTTTTTAGCTTCTTAATTACTAGAAAGTTTTCCCTTATGTTTGAAGAAATATCAGTGTGTTAACAATACACCCAGATATGTATATGCAGATATGTACTATTACACAAATATAAATGCATATGGCATATATACACACATACATACAGTGAGTATATAAAAGGTAAAAGTTGGAAGACAACCCAAACTGTCCAGTGATAAGATTGTCTTCCTTTTCTTTCTTCACACCATTGCTATCCACATGTGGTTCTGTGAAAGATTTAACTTATCACAGAATCTCAGAGTTGGAAAAAACCCAAAGGGGCATCTAGGCCAACCAGCATTTGACTGAGAACTACTTCAACAGCTCTGATAAATGGTCACCTATTGGTTACATTGACTTGATGTCCATTGATGAAGGATCCACTACCTCCTGATGAAGCCACCTCATATATGTCCGTATATATGTGTAATTATTTGGAAGTTTCTCTTACACAAGAGGTAGACTTTCTCTAGTACTTTAATCATTGGCTCCTATTTCTGCCTTCTCACCAGGCCTGAGCTTTCATTTTTCCTGTAAAATGAAAATATTTTAACAGTCTACTTTATTCCATCTATATAATTATAATATTAATCACATTTTTGTGTGAAACTTTGTGGAACACTGATCCTTTTAGTTGCTCTGACAACTCTGGCCCTTATAACTTTTCTCAGGTTACTGCTCAAGTTTAACTCTGCCCATGGCAATTCACGGACTTTACAGGACTCTCTCTTCCCTTAAGTTCTTTTTAAATTCATGCCTTCTGGAACTGTCCCAGTGAGTAAGTGAAAGATCCCTTGCATTTTCAATGTTCTGTATGTGATCTTGAGTTCAAAGATGGCCTCAGACAACACCTGTGTGACTGAACAAATCATTTAACTTCTGTCTGTCTCAGTTTCCTCAAATGTAAAATGAAGATAATAATAGCACCTACCTCCTAGGGTTGTTGTGAAGGACAAATGATATGTTTGTCAGGTGTGTGTAATGCTTAGTGCATAGTAGGTGTCATGTTGATACTTAATAAATCCTTCCTTCCTCCCTTCTATCCTTCCTCCCTTCCTTCTTCCCTTCTTTCTTTCCT